ATGGCAAAGCCCAGAAGTACACGCAATGCAATCATCTGCTTCCAATTCTGGATGAATGCGGTGCAGAGGGTGATCAGTCCGAAGCAGAAGGTGATCAGGGCGAACCAGACGCGAGGGCCAATCAAGCGCACGGCAACGGTGCAAGGCAGCTGAGCGACGACACTTGCAATCGTAAAGATGAAGATAGAGACTGAATACCGCGACCCTTGCAAGTCAAGATCCTCAAACATGCTTGTGACCGATGCGGATGACAGAATGCCCGAGTCAAGTAGGTTGAGACTGCATAGGATCCCGGCGATAGTACAAAGACGTATGTCTACTTTGAGTCGAATGCGTCTTTCCAATGCTGTACATTCTTCCTCAGAGACATTCTGTATAATGGGCTGTCCTTCTGAGGCAACGACAAGCGCCGCCTCTTTTGCTGTATCAAGGGCGGGTGTCATCTTCTCCGCACTGGCGTCGTCGACTGAATGACATTGTTCTGTCATTGTGTGCACATGCACATTGGCTGTTGCTTTCGGAATGGAATTGCTGAGTTACTCAAAAGACCGTCATGGTGCAGTGGGTATAGGAAGAGTACAATGGGGACAGAAAGGCGGGATGCGGATGCACTCCTCGACTATTGGATGGATTATGATTTAATATTTTTTCTTGCAGCTGAGAACTCTGGACCTCGGTGCTTATCAATATTTTGTACTACCATGTAACGCTGTAGGATTGGACAGTAGTACTCGTGAGTCATGTATCGCCGAAAATATCAAAGGCGAGTGCATTATTGAAATGCTGCTGAAATGCTGATTCAAGCATTATCAATCTCTGAGTGATGCTCCCCCGCTTCTCGAAGATCATCGAAGATGTTCTCCATCACTAGGTTAGAGCCTCGACTCCGCTGACCTCGGCTTTTAACCATTAGGAGTTGATCTTAACTATCGAAAGCTTGCTTTTGCTTGGTAGTAGATCCTAGCATTTATGTAAATCATAGTCTGTTTTATCTGTCGGCGAACATTCTGGTAATCCGTGCTTACTTGCAAATGTACCGAGTGGTGTGAAGAGTAAAACCCAACATGAAAGAGAATCCTTGACCTTTGGACTGGTCTCTGCAACAGAATGCTCCTGTATCAATGTTGATCAATGAGTGTTGTCGTTGACTCGACTTGGATACATATATCTCCATTGATGCTCATCGCTGTCGGACTGTCCATTTATGTACACAGTATTTCACTTGACCTCAAACAACTGGATCCAACCCATGTCAACTCATCTGTGGTGCAACATTGTATCTCATTAGGATTAAGATAAGGTCATGTGACCTACATGATTCCCACGCCGTTGGGATTGGGACCTGTGTCTGGCTTCTGCTTATTTGATTCTGGTTGCGTCACTCGTTTCCCTAGGTAGCGTACGTCGTATCGTATACCCATCAATCTGAGGGTGCGTAAGGCGAAGTTGTCTGACGTAACTCACGTGGGCTTCTGTAGATGCTGATGGCAATGTACGTTGATTCTGGATAGACAAGCTTACATTGGAGTAGGCATGTATTGACGATGAATAGTACACTACCAAAGGCTTCTCAGCTCTTGGCAATATTTTGGTGTCCTCACGGCTGACGTTGGATATGAAGCAGTTCTGGGAGAGTAACGGTGCGGTCGTGGGCTCGTGGTATAGTTTTAGTCCCGTGTCTGTCAGAGTTTCTGTATCCATATACAGCACAATGTCTTTAACAGTTGGCCGGTTGGTGTAGTTGGTTATCACGTATCGTTAACACCGATAAGGTCGCCGGATCGAGCCCGGCACTGGTCACTTGTTTTTTTTTCCTTTCAATTTTTTCCAGCCCTCACATGGGTATATACCCTATGATGCCTTAGGTAGAACGCTTGGGGCCATTGCATTCTCGAGAACTTGGCGGGTACCGGGTTTGACCGTGCGAGTGACTCGGGACTGGAGATGGATCATTATGTTCATCATGGCATGTAAAAGCATGTGGACTATGACTTATCGATCGAATGCCGAAAGCGGGGAATCCTAGCTCCTGTACACAAAGGCAAAATTTCAAATCTTTCTTAACAATTGGCCGGTTGGTGTAGTTGGTTATCACGTATCGTTAACACCGATAAGGTCGCCGGATCGAGCCCGGCACTGGTCATCTCTTTTTGCTTTTCTCACTCCATGAGTAGAGTCGGTTTATTGTTTTATTATTATATCTCATTTGAAACCTGCCACATAATATTGTGAGAAATGTGATCCTTGTGCTGCTGTTTTATGTTATTAGCGGCTTCGTCAGATAGAGAGACTGATAGTAGTCCGACGCTGTCTACTACAATGTAAAAGGCGATGCAACTTTGATGGGTTGTTGTACCTTCTATCTGGTAGTCGGGACAAGGAAGAGATGACGTGGGGTTCTCTGATTAGGCTAAATTTTATGTTGACGCTTGCCCTATTAGCTATGACAGTGACATGACTGGGATTGTTGGTGATTTATGCTTTGCAACTGACTTGGGCGTGGGAGGTTTTGCTACATAACTAACAGCAGCACCCCCAGAGACTGCACTATATACTCCAGCCTTATAATTCGCTTAACAGAAACGAGCGAATGTGCTGTTGGGAGGGTGTCTGTATTTGAGTGGAGTTAAGGAAAGAACATGCATGAAGGCTGATGATATACCTTCTATGATAAAATCCAACTGAAGCAGAATTCGGTTACCTTCGAATAATCTACATATATGCCTTCTAGTAAGTCCCTGTTGGTTTCGAATGGTCTTACTCCTATCTTACGACAACTCCATTTGTGCCAAGCACTTGTGCTTCTATATGTATAGGTCGATAAGAGTGGTTAGCATGGAGTATATAAAATGATAAGTGCATTATTCTGGCGTACCAGGAAGATACAGAGAAGGAGAAAAAGATGACACGCTCATGTCGGATATGATGGATATGAACAAATAACAGATCCTTCTTATCTCATTCTCACCTGACACTGACTGCAGTCGTATCAGATTAAATAATACTAAACCCTCCTTTATATTGCTACATCATTTGTTTTTGTTATCTCTTCATATTACTGTAGTTCATGCTGCAGTGTATGGGTAACCCCGAGGTTACGGTTTTTATTCTGGCAAGGCATACTTTTATACTATCGGCCAAATCAGCCATTAACTGTCTGCGTGCTCCGTCGAGAGTTAAGCGCCCGAGTGCCAAAGCAACAGATTGTTTAATCAAGCCAGCAGTATCTCATTTGATTGGCTATTAATTAGTCTAAGGAGTATCGAAGACTGTATCGGTTATATTGCTAGCATGTTTCCCAGATCTCTCCCTCAAATGGGTCATCAACATGCATCATGTGAAGGGTGTCTTCCCCCTTGTCCTCCACGGTGAACCGCCTTGGAGGGAATGAATTGAAAAGCTTTCCTCTAGTGCCGCTGCTGTCCAAATGACTTCTTAATGGGCTTGAGGAGGACTCTACCTTCAGAGTCACTTGCGTCCTCCGCAAGGCGCCAGTAGACGATGTCTATATCGGACAAATGACCGAACTAATTGTGATCTGGTCATCGTTCGTCATTACCGTTCCATATTTCGCGCGAGGAATTGATATCCTGAACCTGGAGCACCGCTTTCCCGAGGTACTGATATACCCTCCTTTGGATCCTTCATCTGAGGACTGACCATCGTACCAGGACCTCATCCGCTGTGAATCCAGAAGATACCGAAATATTCATCTTTCAAATCCATGTGTGGGGTGACGGAAGTTACCTTATAGGGTTCATTCTAGTTCAGTAACCTTTCAACAGCGATCCGATTACAGAGATTGCGCAGCTTCTCTGCGTCCAGGGACGCTCTAACGCTGTTTCCAATGACAGTGATTGGAGTCTTATGGTATATACCAGGGTCCATTGTACATATCTGGGCCGAGAGACGCGGGGAGATGGCAGCTGCAGCTGCGATGCTTGAAAAGTGGGCATTCGGATATATATTATCACACAAACCCATATTTCCACAGTCCAGTGAATACCTTATATCCCAATATAGCATCTGTACGGTCGGTAACGACTAACATGTTATCACAGGCTGAAGTGTAGGGCGGCGAAAGACAGGAACTACAATATCTGTGCGTAGTTAAGTTACGGTATAGACACCACTGCGCTATAGTGAATAGGATATTACTGTTATAAGTGATCCTGTCTTTTATATGTAAAGGCCCCAGACATATGGACTTGCGGTGATATTAAAGTGCAGGCGGCTAGCTGGCTTACTACTGAAAAACTTAGGTATTCGTCTCTGAATAGCCAAGTAATTGATGCAGTGGGAGCATTCTCAAAGCAAGGAGTGAATTTTATCCTAACGATAAACTATTGGACCAATCTATGCACACCATAGCACGGAGTTGCGGGGATAATATCGTTATCTAACAGGCCAACAGACCTGAATTTTTGACCTTGGACTATATGGTTAAAAATTTGGAAAATTTCCAACAATTGGCTGGTTGGTGTAGTTGGTTATCACGTATCGTTAACACCGATAAGGTCGCCGGATCGAGCCCGGCACTGGTCATTCTTTCTTTTTCATTTTTTGCTTCTTCTTTTCACCTTAAAATCAATGGTTTTGCTCAAGAATTGATTATATGATATGTCCATTGCACTCTCCTTACAATGTGTCTTATAGTCTCATCATTACGGAGCGAAGCGAAGCATGTCTTATATAGCAAAAGAGAAATGACATTTTGGATCGATAGAAGCCCTCATCTCAAAATCTGGAATATCCCGCCTAGGGTAACTGTAAAGGAAAAGCGGTGACCGGGTGCGGACAGAAGCAAGATATCAGAGAGGCAGGTTACTCCGTGTTCGAAAAAGTTCGTAATCAATTGTTCGAGAAGGTTCGTAATCAATTCAGAATCTGATATCCGGCTTTTGGAGATCAGATGAATGCAACTCATTACTGCAGGATGCCATTTGTATGATTGAAATTGATGCTTTCAGGGCACTGTCTCGTGACGTTTCGAACTCACCATGTCCCACGGCACATCTCTTTCATTGAGCCAGAATAATTTTATTCGGGCCCCCAACAACGAGGCGAAGGACCAGCCTCTGGTCGATGATACATCCCTCCGAAGACAGAAACGACAGGCGAACGTTTATGATCCGTGTGTTCTCCCGCACCGAACTGACGGATGCCAGGTCGGGTAAACGTCCGTGGATTCTTACTGTCGGCGTCGTATGCTTCCAAGTACCGGGATATGGCGTCTTTGAACCTTTGCCCTGCACGCCCAGAAGAAGTCTTTCCCGCTGACAGAACGCTCCAATTCGCTACGAAGAAAACGACTTCTACTTCGCCCATGAGGCTCTTACGTCCGACTGTCCTCTCCCCAGTTCCGATATTCTGGAAGCAATCCACGCCTACTCGACGAATTCCTACGACAATGCGACGTGGGACCGGGGTTAAGATGGCTATCAGAGCATGGATGAGACGGCTTTGATCGTCATATGTATCCTGCTGGAGGAGATGGCACAGGAGTCTCAAGAGGAAATTCGGGCGGATGAGCGCCAACCTGCCTGCCTTCCGCAATGGGCCGTAAAAGGGCTAACACTGGGCGGAGTAGCATCCTTGCCAGCTCCGAGGATGACTTAGACAGCGTGGTCAAGAAGAAGAAGAAGCGATCGAAGAAGCGTCGTTTAGCAGCCAAGGCGATACCCACGGATATGGACACAGAAGCGGACACGAACGCTATGCTAAGATTAAGGCGTGCAGCCGCCGAAGCCTCTTTCTTGACCCGGTGAAGGCTGCTGTGTCTCTGAATGCTTATCTCCCACCCAAGCAACGTTCTTAAACTGCATCCTTTCCCCCTTGTATGGCAGTGGCGGGATAACGGTCGAATAGTGATCCCTCAATCTGACGGAGAGATGTACCCAAGACCTGCACAATGCTTGAACGCTGACCTCCTCGCACATGGTCGAATGATCCCAATCTCAGGCCAAACAATGGCTGTCGCCGAGCAATGCGTGGCGTCCGTCGTTCCTCGGCAAGATTGGCCTAATAGAAGTCCAGAGCCCAGGCGGCGGTTTTAGGGTCTTGGCCTGCTCCGCATGGAGACTAGACGGGTGCTAGATTGCGGTTCTAGCACCCCGGACTATCATCCCTGCGGTCATACTGGCTGGTTCCAACCCCGCCCCGGACTGATCCTGCGACTTGATCGCGCCACCCTTTTCTTATACTACTCCTTCATTCAATTAGCCTGAATTCATTTCTCAATCTTCTTCCCTGGTTAACGAAGTGTCCCCTGGCGTCCGTTTGGGTAAATCCATCGTATTGTGGAGTCAACTGCCGGATTGGCGGTTGAATGTATGGCCCGGTGGTTCGCCTTTGGCGTCTTGGATATGGATTTATCCTGGGATCATCTGGGAACTGAAACGAGATGAGTCGGTCGTGCCTTGATAGGCAAATTCTCCACAGCGATATTTCCCACGTCGGCGTTGGTTTACCCACACCAGACAGCGATGCCTGGAGCATTTGGACCCAGCAGGGGTGTTTTGGTTGAACAGGCTTAATCCATGGGAAAATTACCGGTAGAAAGCCCTCATAGACGGTTGCTCTTAAGATCGCCCGTCTCACCGACGATGATCGTTCGATTCCGTGAGAGCCCAGAGTTGATGCCAAGTGGGAGATTGCCTGCAACCTGAGGGGATATCACACACACCTTTATTCGCCATGCCTTCGTCCTCTACCTTTGAACTTGCCGGACGGCAGTTCCCCAGGGTGACCTGGTACAAGGATCCTGGGATGAGAAAAACCTATATCTGTCTGATGCTGGTTGTCTTGACTGCGGCATGTTTTCCCTACAACTCATATCATGGTCACCACTGATATCCTCCTGTAGGCAACCAATGGCTACGATGGGTCGATGATGAATGGATTGCAGACTCTTCCTCACTGGCAAGAGTATTTCAACCATCCCGAAGGCTCAATGTTGGGCATTCTCAGTGCAATCATGTCTCTTGGCTCGCTTGCGGCGTTGCCCGCTGTGCCCTATACAGCTGATATCCTAGGACGGAGAATGGGAATCTTGATCGGTTGCCTCATCATGTACGCGATTGAAGTAATTGTCTCGGGGTACATCGTCCTGACCGTATTAGGATCCTGGGTGTCGTTCTCCAGAGTGTTAGTGCCAACTATGGCATGTTCCTGGCTGCGCGGTTTTTGATCGGATTTGGAGTAGCTATCGCTCATGGAGCTTCTCCTTTGCTGATTACGGAACTGGTGCACACCCAGCATCGTGCCATCTTTACTACCATCTACAACAGTAAGGACAGGTTGCCGTGATTTGCGTACTGACCGCTAACCTGCGATAGCCACATGGTACCTTGGCGCGATCGTCGCCGCCTGGCTGACTTTCGGCACCAACAATATCGATAGTAACTGGTCCTGGAGAGCACCGACTGTTGTCCAGGCTGCCCCGTCGGTCCTCCAGATCATCTTCGTCTGGTTCGTGCCCGAGTCACCCCGCTTCCTGATCTACAAGGGTAAGGATGAGCAGGCACTGAAGGTGCTGGCCGACTGTCACGCAAATGGAAATCAACAGGACGAGGTTGTTCAGCTGGAAATGCACGAGATCAAGGAGACTATCCGCCTTGAGAAGGAATTCGAGAGCAACAGCTGGATGGAGCTGGTCCGCACCAAGGGCAACCGGCACCGTCTTATCATCTGCATCACTGCGGGACTCTTTTCGCAGTGGTCTGGCAACGGTCTGGTGTCTTATTATATTGCCAAGGTTCTGACCTCGATCGGATATACCAGCTCCGTTCAGCAGAACCTGATCAATGGCTGTCTCCAGATCTTGAACATGATTGTGGCCCTGACGATGTGCTTCTTTGTGGACAAGATCGGACGGCGCAAGCTTTTCCTGGTCTCGACGGCGGGCATGTTGGTGGCGTTCGTAGTCTGGACGATCTGCTCGGCGCGGTATGCCATCGCGGGGAATCACAATGCGGCCAATGCCGTGATTGCGATGATTTACCTGTACTATGTGTTCTATAATATCGCATGGTCGGGTCTTCTGGTGGGATACACGGTTGAGATTTTCCCTTACAGTATCCGAGCTAAAGGAATGACGGTGATGTGGCTCTGCATTGATCTCGCTTGTAAGTGGTCCCGACGTCGTGTATGAGTTCTGTACTGACGGTCCGCAGTGTTCTTCAACCAGTACATTAACCCGATTGCGCTGGAGAACCTCGGGTGGAAGTATTATATCTTCTACTGCGTCTGGCTGGGCGTGGAGTTGGCGGTGGTGTGGTTCTTCTACATCGAGACACGCAACACGCCGTTGGAGGAGATTGCGAAGTACTTTGACGGGGAGAATGCGGTCGTGGGTGGCGTTGCGGGCACAGAGAAGGCGCGGGGGTTGAAGAATACGCTGCATATCAAGGAGGTCTCTTGATCTGATGGAGTAGGATCTTGGTATACTTATTGTTGTATTATCAGTTGGGTAGATGGTGTTGTGCCTGAGGATGACTTCGACTTTCCACACACTTTCCACACTCCTCTCCTTTCTCCACGAACGAACAAACCCGTTCCATTCGATACATAAGATACATACTGAATGACCTCACCTTGTCCAGATTCAATATGAGTTTACACTAAATACACCCACCATGGTACGCTTCCTCCCAAGCCCACTCCAACCAGAAAACAACAGACAACCGGGATTCGAACACTAAACGAATTGCACAGCCGGAGTGCCAAACAAGCCCTGATCGTCCCACACCCCCGGTCAACAGGCACCTGTCACACACTCAAGGAGCTGGAGAAGATGTCAGACGCTTCACTGAGCAAGAAATGGAGAGATCTCAAGCAAGCTGGTATCGACCCAATCGATTGTCCTCGCAGGCCAGAGATATTATGGTCACGTAAATCGCATCTTACGAAGCGCAAGGAGTTGTAAAAGGGAAAGAGACGTGCTTTTGGCTGAAGGGGAGGCTGAACTACTGAGTCAAGAGCCGAAGAAGAGGAACTACAACTCAGAAGGAAGGCTGAAGTCTTAGGCAGCTGTCGACATAGGAAGATTGTGCAGACTACCCCCGTCCCCTCGGGCCTGTATGCGGTAAGAATTATGCTGAAGTGAAACCGGAGAAATTCGCCAGGTCTGTGTTAAAGAAACGATACGTTCGTTATTAGGCAGACTGCAGACAAACTTATGACCATGCGGGTAACTCTAGTCGGTGGTAGTATTAGGGCAAGTTCTCCGCAGTTTTGTCCTAGCCATTGTACGGTCCAACTCGACTGGTTCCTTGCTCTTGAAGCAAAAAAGACACGTCCAGTCCAACAATTGGCCGGTTGGTGTAGTTGGTTATCACGTATCGTTAACACCGATAAGGTCGCCGGATCGAGCCCGGCACTGGTCATTGTTTTTTGTATTTTTCTGATATACACAAACATCCTATCGATGCCATCCTTAATCGTTATTTTTCCCTTCTCACTGCAAGCTCAATCATTTCGTACTGACTTCTATTAAATTAATATTAAATCTACCCTTCTCTCGTTCATATCTACCATTCCAATCAATCTGACCCCCTCTGTCCCCTCAGTATTCTATCACAATCTGCATCCTCCGATCCTCCGCTGGGGATCCCGAGTGTCTCAGTGGCCAATTCCTCTTTCCTTAATGTTCTAACAAAGACGAATTGTAACTGACAATCGAGATACTCCGTCACTCGGCGATCTGATATTCCATTATCATTTCTCCGATTTCGCCCCCGCAGCTTCCCCTTAGAAAGGACCCACGTTTTGCTGCAGCTCGGGCGAAGGGAGCTGCGGAGCTGTCTCATGATATGGAGCATAATCATAATAAGTATTCATCTATGGCATATGAGGAATGGCTCGACTCCCCAGACTCTGGCTGTCCAGCTTTCTCCGAAGGATCGTACATATATGTAGCCATTTCGCCTCTCTCTCCGCTCCGAAATCCTCTCCGCAGCTTCGTTTGTTTGATGCCCTCCCCCGCTATTGTAGTCTTCACCGCCAACCAAAAGTCTGCTATTATTATTGCATTCGTTGCCCTCCACCATAACAACAATAATCATCCTTAACGCTCTAGTTGGATAACGTTGGTATTCCTACGAAGGGCACCATGGTTGAGCTGATTCCTCCCCCCGATCCTCATACTTTGCTCCCTCCTCTCTTAGCTTGCCTTCCCACAGCGTTTGTCTCGACCCGCCCTCCCCCAGTGCTTCTACCCCTCCTATCACCTATTCTCCGACAGCGTGTTCAGATCCTCAGTTCAGTCTCTACATCTCCGACCGATTCGTGGTTGCGGTTACTATGCTGGGATTCCGAAAAGGCTGAGCGTCTTCAAGCGCTGGTGGACGGCGCGAGTTTCGAGCCTCACCCAGTGTCGGGGGAGATTGAACTCCCAGAAGAAGTTCATGTTGCATACAAACGGGTGGACGAGGAGACATTGCACTCGCGAATTCTGTTACCGGAATACAGCTTGAAAGCTATATATCTCTGGTGTCGCAGTGATCAAAACGGAGGTGGGCCCGGATGGCGTGTGGCTGAATTGATGCCCCATGAAGGCGGCGCCGAAAACGACGGGGTTTGGTCATTCTCGATCGGGGAGGCGAATGCTCAGGCAAAGGAAAAACTGGTGGAGGATGCTCTTAGGGCGGCAGAGCAGGATCAGAACGTCGCCCCGCACACCCAGGAGAAGGACGATGAGGAGGACGATGACGACGGCTATTGGGCTCAGTACGATGCTACACCTGGCCGAACGCCTTCCCTTAAGACCCCTGCCCCCAATCAACTGTCGTCTCTCCACCGCCAGGATACGTCCGAAGCATCGTATTTCTCACGCTACGCTGATGTGCAACCGGCAATGGATAACCACGACCCATCAGAGGAGCAATCGGAGGTTGGTCCAACTTCGTTGAACGGAGACATGCTGGCGAGTTTGCTGCGGCAGCAGGTGAATAACTCAAGCTTGGACGAATCGGCTCGAACGAACGGCTACGCCAATGGAACAATTGCCGACGAGACCACCGCGATGTCGCTAGATCATCCTCGGCCGTCTTCCACGTCGTCCACTGCGTCCGAGGCGGCAGTCGCAAAGTTGGAACAAGAAGCGGAGCATCAGTCTGCATGTGAAGTCGGCGTGAAGCAACATATCAGCTCCAATATCAAAAGCCTATTTCGGCTTGCGAAAATTACGGGTATTTCGCGTGCAGAATTCCAATCGCTGGTCAAGACGGAGTTGGAGTTGTTGAATTTGTCTGATGAGGAATAAATCTGGTGAAATTACTGACTGGCGGCTGTTTCCGACAAATGATTCTCTTCCTATTGATATTGCTGGTTTTGTACATTATACCATCTGATTTGCTGCCCTTTTTTGAGCGTTGGGAGTTGCATTACTGTCTCGCAGGATATCCATTTGTTTAGGACAACAGATTGCTTGCGGTCGAGCACAACATTGGAATCAATAGCTAATCGGAATTAGCACAGACCCCATCAATGATAAAGATAAATCATTCATCATGTTTGCTAGGGTAGCATGTTGTCGGCCTCATGCCTTCATAAGGTAAGGTAAATGATCCAATCCATACATAGGTTTGACGCTCGGACCAATGTCTTGTTCCGTTCCGCGCGTCCTCCGAATAATGACACGCAATCCGCTTACGGACAACCGACCCCCCCGTAAATATAGGTAGCCGGCAGTATATTTTCCTCCCCCCACTCCTCTTCCAAGCCTCGCTACCATCTGTTCTACTGTATTGTACTCCGTACTACCATGTGCTTTCCGTGATCATCATTGTAAGTTATTGCTCAATGGCGATCCTCTGATCCTGGAGCTTATCTTCACTGTCCTGTTCTGGTTCGCTGATCTTATCTGTCAATTCCAGCTTTATCTAGGTGATCGACTGCCATTCTCTTAGCTCCTTTTTCTTGTTGTGTACTTTCCTTCTGGTCATGTCTTCATCTCCTTCGTCCTCTCTTCGCAAGAGAGGCGGGAGGAAGGAGGCTTATTCTCCATTGCCTTCGGACGATGCCTCCTCTCCTTTGTCTTCATCCAAGCCGAGCGTGGCTCCCAAGAGCCAGTCGGGATGGGACTATAGGCTGGCCTTAGTCGTTCTCACCATCCTGGCTTTCATTACCCGGTTCTACAAGATATCCTACCCTAATGAAGTGGTCTTTGACGAGGTGCATTTTGGCAAGGTGAGTGAAGCTGTCCTCATTATTTAGCAATTGTACAATCTGACATGGGACTTCATTCTCTCAGTTCGCTTCGTACTACTTACAAAGAACTTATTTCTTCGATGTGCACCCTCCATTTGGCAAATTGCTCTTCGCTTTCATGGGATGGCTGATTGGCTACGATGGCCACTTTTTGTTCGACAACATTGGCGACTCCTACATCGATAACAAGGTTCCTTATGTCGCTCTCCGCGCAATGCCGGCCACCCTGGGGGCTCTGACCATCCCAGTGGTCTTCCTCATCATGTGGGAGTCTGGATATTCGTTGCCGGCCTGCGTGTTGGCTGCCGGTCTCGTACTGTTTGACAATGCCCACGTCGGAGAGGACAGACTGATTCTGCTGGATGCCTCCTTGGTACTTTCCATGGCACTAAGCATCCTGTGCTACGTTCGCTTCTACAAGCTGCGCCATGAACCCTTTGGCCGTAAATGGTGGAAGTGGCTGCTCTTGACGGGCGTTAGTCTCAGCTGCGTTATCTCTACGAAGTATGTCGGTGTCTTCACATTTGTTACCATTGGTGCTGCGGTTTTGGTTGACCTGTGGAACTTGTTGGATATCAACCGCCCATCGGGAGCTCTCAGCATGGCCCATTGGAGTAAGCACTTTGCTGCCCGCGCATTTGCCCTCATCGTTGTGCCTTTCTTCTTCTACCTGTTCTGGTTCCAGGTCCATTTCGCAATTCTCACCCGCTCCGGGCCAGGCGATGATTTCATGACCCCGGAGTTCCAGGAAACCCTCAGTGACAACCTTATGTCGGCGCAGTCGATCGGCATTCAGTACTATGACACAATCACTATCAGGCACAAGGACACCAAAGTGTTCCTTCACAGCCACTGGGAGAAGTATCCCCTCCGCTATGATGACGGCCGTATTTCCAGCCAGGGCCAGCAGGTCACAGGATACCCATTCAACGATACGAATAATCACTGGCAAATTCTGCCTTCTGTTCCCTATCCTGAGACCGACAGGCAAGGCCACAGCGTCAAGAATGGCGACACCGTCCAGCTCCGTCACGTCGGCACTGACACCATCCTGCTGACGCACGATGTTGCGTCGCCTTACTATCCTACCAACCAGGAGTTCACCACCGTTTCTCCTGAATTGGCCAATGGTGAGCGACACAACGACACGCTGTTCGAGATCAAGATCGAGAACGGCAAGCCTCAACAGGAATTCCGCTCTCTTTCAAGCCA